AGGGAGACACTTACTGTCGAAGCGTCAGTCCGACGGTGTTTACGTCGGGGAGGCGAAAGGGGAGCTAGGCACTGTGTGGTCGCGGTCTAGTGGCGGTAACTGCCGGTGATCTTACTTGTGTGTGTTGTGTGTGTGTGTGTGTCGTGTGTGGTGTGTGTGTGATCGTCGTCTGTGTTCGTGTGTGTGTCTGGGTCGTCGTGACATATGTCACCGAGTAGTCGAGGTTTGCCGCCCTTTTGTACGTGGTGACCCACAATCACAACGTACGAAGGTGGATGAGGGTAGAAGGATGTTAAGAGCCGCCGAAAGGTTAGCAAATTTTCGTCTAGTAAAAAGACTATTTCTTCGTGATAAAGACCTACATTCAGAGAGTTAATAAAACGCAGACTACAAGCGGAGAAGAAGTTTATCTGAGCACCACTCAGACTTTTTGGGATTCGAGGCAATTCTCAAACATTGCGAAAGGTAAGAACTATAGTAGGGTCGTGACGAACCAATTTTATTTAGGACTTAGGTGAGTATGGGTCGTTTTGACGGGGTATTTTGTGTATTCTCTTCCGTTGGAAAAACAAAAATTCGTTTTCCTTCAAACATAAATTATAGACAGCTAGACGTTACAGAACAGGATTGAACGAATCCCACGCCAACCTATAGGCAGAGTATCACTGCGTTGCCAAAATAGCCGTCAAAACAGGGAATGTTTATGTGTAAAAACCGTAAAGCCTAGCGTTTACGTTTGGCATATTTCTATAGGAACTACTATAGTTTGGGTAGGTCTAGTACGGTCAAAGTGGGAAGGGACTAAATGCAACTTAACCGGAGGGGAGGTGGCTTTTACAGCAATCGACAGATCGAGGTAAGTAACCAACCGTAGTGGTGCGGAGTAGCCTAGAAGGAGACTCTTGAAAGCTGAGGTCAGGCCTCCGCCCCAAACTCGCAGGCCAAGTCCTTTGACCGACAAAACAGGGCTTCCCGTATCGCACCTCGCGTCGTCGTGCACTCATGAAGTCCAACGCGGAAGACGGCTCCGCCGGCATACCCTACACACACACACAAACACACACACACACACACACTCACACACACACACACACACACACACACACACACACACACACACACACACACACACACACACACACACACACACACACACACACACACACACACACACAACCCTCTCTCTCTCTCACACACACACACACACACACACACACACACACACACACACACACACACACACACACACACACACACACACGTCAAATCACCCCAGCTAATGTCCATCACTTCCCCCTCACATAAACGTGTGTTTCCATCACTCTGAGGAGGCAGAAGACCAGCTGGTGGTCGAATACGAGCGCGCTAAAGAAAGATAACACTCTGTTCCGGTTTATCTGCGTACAAGCCTTTCCTTCTCCTCATTTCTCTTTTGTTGACTTCTCTGCCCCCCTGCTGTGCTTCTGTCTGTCTCCATACTCTCTTCTTTCCGTTGTTCATTGCTCTATCTCTGCCATGAGTGTGTGCTTGAATTCACTCTGTTCCCCTTAACACTCAAAAATAAACATGTGTATCCTGAGTTCAGTGGCTTGACTCCCCTCACCTCGGAGTCCTTGTAGTGGCGCTCGGGGATCTCATCATAGGCGATGTCCACGGTGCACACCTCTGTTTCCTCTTCTTTGGGCTCGCTGCTAAAGATCTGAGGAACAGGGAGGAGTTCAAAGATAAATTAAATGTTGTGGGATGTTGCAAGGCTATTTTTTTTTATGTGATAGGACAGCATCACACACTTTCACAGTAAAGCAGCAGTTGAATTAGGTTTGGAAGTTTCAAAACACATTATTCTGTTGGTCTCAAAACAAAGCGATAGCCGTCCTTCTGCCTTTACCCTCCGACAATACAAACTGTGAGGACTTATATGAGTCACTACGTGTGATCAGTAATTTGTGTCTGACTCACACAGGAACAGCAAAGAAATATCCGTCAGGTATCCGCTCTCTTCACAACCATTTTACGGCTCCTGCGTCACAGTTGATCCTGCTTTGAACAATCTTTTATACAGGTGTAGCGGAAGGGAGAAAGGGCAGTGCGAGGGATGAAAAGGTTATTGAAAAGGGAAGAGAATGGAGGATGAGATGTACAAATGGTGAAGGCGGTGGAGGGAAGTGTAAAATTGAGAGCGGAAGGAGCGAACACTTGTATTTAATTCTTCTGCCCTCACTTCTAAAACACCCCCACTTGTTACGATCAGCTTCAAATGTGAAATAATGACCTGATGTTCTGCGAACGCGTCTGACTGGGTTTGCAGCTCCCACTAGCCACCACTAGGTGGAGCTGCGGCCTTTTGTTTTCAGCTGCAGCATGGATCATGGCAGGATTGCGTAACCTTGCACCTTACTGCCAGGAAAGTGTTAAGTGGCTCTGAGGAAGAGATGGATATCAAGAACAGTACTTCTACAGTGACATATTGACACGTGTTTGTGCTCTAAGTAAATGCTTTGGAAATAATGTTTTCAAGCCAATAACATCCATTGCATTGCACTAAACTGATAAAAGGGAACTGATTGAAGGGCAGGTGGTTGATTGCTTAAGATGTCTTTACGTTTTATTTTGTGCTTGTATTGCCATAACTTCATCATTTTGTTATTTAGTCACACAACTGTTTATGGAAACGACATTGTAAGATATATCCTGCGGTGTGGGTGAAAAGAAGAACTGTGTTTCTGGTGTGACAGAGCAATGAAATAAACAAATATTGTAACATAAAAAATATATACCACAGGAAAACCCTGTACACGAGTGAGAGGATAGCAGTATGAGTGCTGATCCACTCACACTCTGAATTGTGGGCAAAGTCTCAAAATTAAAGATGGCACAATGACGCAGTAGAATTTAACATTTTGGATTTAGAGGCTTTGAAGCAGAAGGATTGGTGACAATATGGGAAGGAAAAAAAGGCAATGAAATAGACAGTTGTGCAATCGGGGACTGTTAGATGTACAAGAAAGGAGATTCAGCAAAAAACTTCAAATAAAAGCCAAGCTAAGACCTCTTTTACTTTGTCCACCACATGACACTGAGCTCTACTCACATTATCATTGCTCCCTTTGTTGTCCTCGTATTTGGATTCTATGTGGATGGAAAACTTGGGCAGGAAGGAGCACTGGAGTGGATAGAAAATACACAACAAAGAGAAATTGATTTGAACGGTGATCACCTTGTGAGATGATAATTACATGGCTTAGGTTTGGATCACCACACACAAGTACAAAATGTGATTTTTTTTGTTGACGGACTCACAAAAAGAGATGTGAGACTAATTGTGTCTCACAGATCTTTGTTATATTGCCCAAACCAGATGAGTAATTATGATCTTTCTCTTACTGAGTAGATGTATTGCACCATAGCTGCTCTTCATTCACTCCTAAACACGGCATCTTGATGAGATTAAAGCTTGACACTTCCAATTATTATACAACCAAAGAGTGGTGGGATACTGTTTAAAAAGGCTGATGGTGTACAAGCTTGTGTGTGTGTGTGTGTGTGTGTGTGTGTGTGTGTGTGTGTGTGTGTGTGCGACTGCAGGACAAAGACAGCAGGAGGGATTGAGGAGAGAATGAGCTATAGGGCCGGATGCCTAACTGTGTGTGTGTGTGTGTGTGTGTGTGTGTGTGTGTGTGTGTGTGTGTGTGTGTGTGTGTGTGTGTGTGTGTGTGTGTGTGTGTGTGTGTATGTGAAGGTCACGCAGAAAGGGTGCTGCATTCCTACTGGCCTTGTGACTCTTATCAGGGAGACGAGAAAACAAGAAAGGTGTGTGCGGGTTATTGTGTGTGTGTGTGTGTGTGTGTGTGTGTGTGTGTGTGTTTGTTTGTTTATGAAAGAGACTGTCATTCAAGAAAAGACAATGTCAATCACAGAAAAATTACTCCGCTTTTATTTTACATAATTGTTGAGTCATTGTTTTAATTGTTTACAGTATCAGCCTCACAAAGCAGTATGCAGGTTTTTATGGACGGGCCCAGCCACTATCACACACTTCACAAAGTGTGATGTGCACATTGGTTAATGCCCTCAATGTGTGGCCCAATTGTGAAGGTAAATGCTAACATGGGCAAGTTAGTTTAAATATTAGCTTATATTAGATAGTTAGCACAGAACACAAATTACAGCGGAAACTAATGGTCATTTGTTTTGAGGTGATTGATCATATATACATAATGTTTGACCTGATGATGATGATGCTGCTGGTTGATGGTATTCCCTAATGTTCAAAATGAATGGTCAGATAGTTATTAAGATATTTCATTAAGAGCCACACATGTTATCCTGTTGGTGGCAGATAGACAGGAAAGTGTGGCATAACTTTGAGACATGACTACCTATTCTGATTCATAAAGTCATGGTCATTGCCTCTACCAATCATAAACCTCATCTTTTGCATCATCACCCCCACCTTGGGCTAATCATAACAAAACATTTCATTTAATTATCATTTAGGCCATTTGGCAGCATGACAACACAGCACCTTCAACACAGGGTATAACTGCTTGTTATAAGTGGACATCTGGTTTGTTAGAGGCTCTTATATCTAAATCACAATGATTGCTGATTTGAGAATATTGAGAGCAGCTTTGTACACCTACAGCATATTTTCAAGAAAAGGGATGCTGAAGTATTTGCAACAGTCATGTTCTTAAGGTTGTAACGTTAGAAGAAGTTATCTGTTCACTTTTCAAATCATGAACATCCTCAAACACCCAAATGTTAAATGTATCTGTACAGTGTCAGAGGAGAAGAGTTGTGTTTCATTGATGTTTTCCTGCTGCCACCCTGGACACAAGGTGGGCAGGCTAATGTCCCAGAGCAAATCATTAATGCTTTTTTCTCAGCAAAAGTCAATTAACCGGGTATCTCTTTGAGAGCTTTGGGTTTTTAAATATGTTTTTAAAGAAGAATTAGATGTATCGATATTGAACGGCGATCAATGACAATCAATGTGAGCCTATAGGTCTTAAAAGTCGATTTTACATTTCAACCTTATCTATGGAGCCTAAAAGTAGTATAGTTTAAGTTCAGATACAGTGAGATGAGTTGTTGTCCCAGGGTGTAATTGTTTACCCTTTACGGACATGGTGAGGAGCTTTCTAGAAGAACTGCTGCTCCTTGTATAAAACAAGAGTCAGTTCATTAGGATTCTGATTAGGATTCACCCTGGACTCCTCCCTGTTATTTCAGATACATCCAACAGGGAGGTGACCCCAGGGTACACAGACAACCCACAGGAGGTATTACCACTTAAACATGGGAACACATCAACATTCAGTGGAAAATAAATAAATAGGCGATGCTGATTTACACCTGTGCCTTGGGTACCCTTTATTATTGCAGAAAAAGTTATTAAGAAATAAATACACCAATAAATACAATATTCTGTGGATTTAATTGAGTTTCCAGATCACAGTTTTCCCTGATGTGAAATTTCAAGGGTTTACAATATGGGTGTTTTCAGTTGAATGTCAAAGCATGAGGTGTTTCCAAGAAGGGAAAATAATTAAAAATAAGAAACTTGCTCGTATAATATTGTTATATATTACATACTTGTGTGTTGCTGCATACAGTGTGACAGATCCTGAGAGTAATTTGTTTAAATTCAAACGAGACTATTCAGAGACATTTGTGATCCCGAGCCAGCATCATTCAGGAAGTGTAGCTACTCTCCCCTGTCATCTCCACCACAAAGATTTACATTTGGATCTAAGTGTTTTTTGTGTAAGTGTGATTTTTCATGTGTGTGGGTGCAGACACATTGAAAGTACTTACCGTGTACTCTGATCGTATTCCCATCAGAGGCCATCAGTGTAATGGACAGAAATGGGAGTTGGGTGAGAGGGGCAGGCGGGAAGAGTACCAAGAAATGAAACCATATGAGAGAGTTAAGAAAGAAAAACTATTTAGTTCAAAATGGAAAAAGGACAATTGAGCCAAAGCAATAGCACAGTCCCAGTAATAGCACATAAGAGGAACCCATGTTGTTATGACATAGTGTGTTATTTATTTCAAAGATGTGTCACATGGACTACTATACACATACATGTGAGCTGCAGGGCTCCCATGTTATTGAAAGTTCAACATACACACTAGGAAATGTGATATCTGCAGGCCAATGGTGGTTTATTACATCTCAGTATTTCTTTGTGGCTTTTAAAGCCGCTGTGCTCCTTCTAAAAGCTTTTTAAAGGTGGTTGAAAGACAGTCATGACCACAATTTAAATAAAACAATTTACAGGAATCCCTTTGCAAAAACATATTCAGGATGGTTTAACCAACAGCTCTATGGCACATTCAAAAATACTGACTGCATATTTGTGTCAAGCTTTTCACTGAACCTTAAAACCTGAAGGATAATGCATCCTGGAATTGCCAGCCAATAAAAAGCACATAACTTAAAATGTCATAAGTATTCAATATGCAAAAAAAAAAATCTAAAAAATGTGTCCCTTTAAATTGAAGCTAAAGAAAGAGTGATGCAAATTATTGAGAAAAATGTCAAAACATCAAAAGCTTGATATCTTCTTAAATCCCCCCTTTTTCACATTTGACCACCAGATTGCACATTCCTGTGATCAAGACCTTACATGTTGATCTTTAGGTTAAACCTGCCTGTCCTCTCCCCATCACTTTCTCCGGTGCTCGTGACCTTTGTCTTTACAACCCCCCCTCCTTTCTTCCCTTTATAGATTGTGTAAGACAGAGTATTGCTTCCAAATCCCTTTGCCCTCTCAATGACCCCATATATTGGCTGCCATAAGGTGAGCTGACCCACGTTTGTAGAGGACTATAGGATGAGGAGTATTATGCATCTATATGTGGCTCAGCAGAAATCCATGATTTTACAATATAAAACAGAATTGTCAGAAAGAAGTTTGTTAAACCAATGTTTATACGTGTCCTTTAGGGTTAATATGACGTGACGAAATGCGTATCTAAACACATGCTTTTTCATGAATGTTTCTACTTTTTAATTGTAAATATTAGATAAAACACAAGGATGTATTATCAAAGTATTACCTGTGATGGTGTAAGGGTAATAGTTCCACGCCTTCTCTGTGACATAGAAGATTTTAGGGACAACCGCTCTGGCCCAACTGGGCAGCTTGCTGAAACACAGAGAAAGAACATTGCATTGATTTTAAACTAAAGAAAACAATGAAAAAGGCAGAAAAGTTAGAGGACTGGTGAGAGAAATAGAAGTCAGAGTCAACATCTCTTAAAGTAGCTCTACTCTTTACCTTGGCCCTATCACCCAGAAAAAGCACTGACAAGCATCCAGCTGCGTAGGGCCGTAATGGAGGCCATACAAGGCAGCAAAGATGGCCCCTGGGGAACTTGATTACTCTGATTACTCTGATTACACGCTCCACCCTGCAGGGGAGTTTCACCCGAGCTTGCATCGTGATAGACCCACCGAGTGACATGGAGGGCGGAAATCACAGAGAACTAGCTATTGCTGCACAAATTGATTCTAAATGTGGACGCAGACAAGTAGTCGAGCATTTTAACGAGCGGCCTTCCAACCAAAATGTGCAGGTCCTGGGAGGTGACTTGGACAAATTAAAAGTCTGAGAGGTCTAAATAGGTTGCAGACTTGCTTTTCACTTTACGTAAGCGTGTATACAGAACTGTTCACACTGCATGACCAGAGCTCCTTTTCAGAGAGCATTAAGATGTACAACATTTGTTGTTTACTGTCTATTATACATTTCAAGTTCTAGGTGTGAATTGTTTTCATCTTTGTCATTAAAAAGTACCAAAAGCATTACACTATGGACAGTTTCCCTTCACATATTTGGATTGCTAACTATCCAACATTACAGATGCATAACAGTAGTCAGATAAGCATGTCCATATCACCTGAGGGGGCTCAGTAAAATGCAAATGATAACTGAGGACGAGAAACAACAGGAGCCAAACATTTCCTAGCTGGAGGGAGTTTCCCAGGCCAAATATTTCAGAAATGTATGATTTCACAGGCTTTTGCAACTATGATACTTTCAGTATAGCTATAGAGAGAAAAAGTCAGAGAAAATTGTCCCTGCAGCCCAAATCACAGCGGTTTCAATATCCTGCTGACTCAATATTAGGCAATCCAGCAAGGAAAATAGCGCCATAAATGGACACAAAGCCAACATTAAGCTGTAACAATTTTCTCTCACAGTATAATTCTCTTTTACACCAGTCATTGATTATTCCAACTCCCACAGTATCACCCGCTTCCCTTCCTATTCTGTGTCTGGACGCTGTAATTGAAGCTGGAGATTATACTGAGAGTCTGTGTGGAGCGCTGCGGCACAAGAAGGACGGCTCACTCCGCTCTCTGTGCAACGGACCATCAGCCAGTAGACTGGTCACACTGCCTTCACTACAAACCAACAACACACCTACACACACGCGCACACACACACACACACACACACACACACACACACACACACACACACACACACACACACACACACACACACACACACACACACACACACACACACTGCAGCTATAACATGGTAACAGGTGGTTTGTGGGCGGAGAGAGGCAGGCGCAATGTCCGACAGGGACTGCTCAAATTATCCTTCGCTCACTGACCTCATATCTCTCTGCCCACACACACGCACGCGCGCACGCACGCACGCACGCACGCACGCACGCACGCACGCACGCACGCACGCACGCACGCACGCACGCACGCACACACACACACACACACACACACACACACACACACACACACCACACACACACACACACACACACACACACACACACACACACACACACACACACACACACACACACACACACACACACACACACACACACACACTGTTACACTTTAACCCTTTCTATAATTATCAACTTGAATGACTTTTCATTGCCAACAACTACTTCTATGTTAACCCAACGACTGTAATCTAAATAATTAAGATTTCCAACAATGTCCCACTGAACATAATGAGCTTTTAAAGATAAACGCCTTGGAGAAGATTTGTTTGTTAAATTATTTTTGGAGTCTATTAGCAAGATTATCGTGCTTAAGGGAGATTGCATGTTATCTCACGGGGTTCAGCTGCAAACAAAATGAAGACTGCAGTGGTAGAAAAAAAAAGGAAAAACCTAAATGAGTCTGAATAACAAAAATGCCTGGAATGTTGGGAATTTAACTCTCAGTATGATAGCTTACGTTTAGCGTCAAGGGCTAGAACATTTACCAGTGCTTTGCAATACAAACAGTTGCTCTGGCTCATCCTTCTAACAGGCTATAGCGGACAGGATCGTAGTACTGACTCCTTAATATTAGACATGTTTCAAAAGCCTGTGAACATTTCGGAAGGTTTAACACTGTATCTGTAAACCTTTCACATATCCAGATAACCCGGGCTAGAAGGCTACCAACCAATGACCTCTCATCAGATTGTTAGGAGGGGTGAATCTGCAATAAATTGTCCCAAAACTCCTCTAGTCTGAGGCAGGCTAAACACAATTTGTGTAATGTTCATCAATCATCAAGCATAATAAGTATCTACAGTATGCACTGAAACAAACAGACATTGGGAGTATTTCTTTGTGTCAGTAGCTTTTCACCCTTCAATTTGCCAGTAGGAGAAACAGATCTTACTTCTTTTCTTCCTTTTTTTCATCTTGCCCCTCAGGGCTCTCGTCATTATAGATTAAGGGAAATCAATAAGGTGCTTAACAAGGCTTTCACCTTGACTCACCATATCAGTCTACAAAATGAAAAAGTCCAAGGGTGCTCAATATTTGTGTATTCATTTACATAATCTTTGTTCTGCTGCAATGCTCCACAGAGAAAAACATGCATGTGTGTGATGAGGGCTCACATTCAGAGCAAATTTACAAATGAGAATGAAGAAACCATGCGTCAGACTGCTCACGACAGTTAATTCAATTGCAATCGACAAAATAGAAAATCAAATATTCAATTTCACGCTTATCAAGTTGAACAAAGCACAGGAAAATAGGCTTGGACAGAGATGAAAAGGGACACCTAACTACATTGTTCCCTTGCTGATTCCCTGAAACACAACATTAAGGCTTAGTGCCAGTCTGAAAAAGCCTTATAATATCTGAGGTTAGCATGTGTTATTATCACCATGTCCTATATACAACTTTGCATTTTCAATGTAATAAGACAGCCTACAGATGTTGACATGAATGCCTCATTAGACACCTAATTAATAGCTAATCTACGTCACAACACAAACAACTGCGGCAAGAATGAGAGAGGTTTGTGTCAGCTGTGAAATAAAAAAAGCCACTTCATCTTTCCTTTGTTAAATCTCTTCTGACAGCTTTATCAGCTGCTGCATAATGAGAAGAAGGCTTCTGAAGGAAAATGCGGGCTTCTCCTCTTGGGATCAATTGAGTATTAAATGAAACACATATTCATACAAATTGCAATTCATGTATTCAGTTAAATTGAACACATGTTTCATGGCCAGAGGAAGACACTCACTTGTTGAGGTAGATTCGTTTCTCTGTGAACTGGCCTGATCCGTGCTCTGGGTCGTCGTACGGCTCGTTCTGGACCACCTCCACCCCCTCCCCACGTTCACTCTGTTCATGACTGTGTTTACTGATCATATACAGCTGGCCAATCCGGTACTGAAAGATAAAACGGAAGACAAACAAACAGAGAAGCTTTAGATCAATTGTTTTATTAAATAAAGTTAGACAATTAATGTTGGTGGAGAACGTCATCCTGACATATTAACAATGTTATAGCAACAAATTGTCTTCAAAGGTCAACGTATCTTCATACAAAGGTTGGAATGAAAGTTATTTAATCATTTATCTTCACAAATGTCCAGCTTTAGGAAACAAAACTATGTACATGGTATTGATTAAGTACATAAGTAACATGACAAAAGCTTTGTACCGCACGAGATACAAACAGCGTCAATCTTGGTGAAAGCCCAGCGTTCGTTTGACCAATTTAGTTAAATCTAAGCCTTTTCCCTACTCTCAATGATTTGGTTTTCATACAACATCACCACATTTCTTTAGAGAAGTAATATAAGAATAAGAGTACCTTACTTTTTCGTAGGTACAGTATGGACAGGGAATGTATAGCCTGTATAGTTACACATCTGGAGTACATTCTGACAAAGCAACTGAATGGAAACAATATGCTGCTTGAAGTCCATAAAACAGACTCAACAGCATATTTTTTTATAGCAGACACAAAAATAAACACAGAGGGGAAAATTCTAGGATCACTGGATGGTATCAATGCCTGGTACTGACACCTGGGGACAGTCCACATAGCGAAAGAAAGCCGGGGTATTAGGATCTGTCCGCAGCATAGTGATAAAGGCCTCACAACAGGTCAGGACCGAGCAGTGCAACAATAGTAACCGCAGCAGCAGCAGCAGGAGCCAGTGCGGTGACCCTATACCACAACATCAGTTAACACCCACATCTTTAACTCAACACTGAATGACCCACTTGGCCAAATGACAATGTCCGTTTTGGTTGCCTTGACAGGCTGCTTTGTCACACTGCAACTACTTTCCATACATTTACAAAACGACAAGCATTGGAGCGAGAGTTTTCCAGGACGGAGATTTCCGACTACTCGTAGGCCTATTCCCGGGTCGGGGGAAATGGATACGGCCCTGATGGTGACTTATTCCACTCTGCAGGAATGCCGAGGGGTCATATAGGACTCAAGCGCCACACACACAAACAAAGCTCCGACCCAGGATAGCTGTGTTAAGCTAATGGAAAAAATGGACAATCACTGCCTGGGATGTCGCCTTGTGACTTCACATCCAGCCACAAAAAGCAAGGTATGGAAAGAAGAGAAATTTGATAGTGCAGTGGAAAAAAGCTGAGCCAGTAAACAAGCTCAGGTTGTAACTTCTTATATCACAATTTTCCATCTGCCGACCATGAGAGAAAAACCAAAAGGCTGAGACAGAGTATTCCCAGCCGGAATGTTGATGGCCATGTGTTTCCGACTGAACAGCTGTGGAGAGTCTGGCATCATTTTTCCACAGCAGCGACACAGTTACAAGCCGGGAATTATTTAGAAGGATCCTGTGTGGTCACACACAAACACACGACAGACATAGAAAGCACAGTGGCTGTGAATCAGCCAGAATGATTTGTGTGTGGAGAACAGTTAATGAAAAAGCACTTTATATCGGAAACGTAATGCACTTAAAGTCAATATTACTATTACTAATGCATCGAATGCTTATCTGGATGTAAAAGGGGGATGAACCCACAGAAAGTCATCACCCAAATCTGAAGTTTTACTAATATCTACAAATTATTTCGGCATTGTTTAACTCAATGTTTTGGTTTTACTTCCTTCAACTTGACTGTTTTGGGTTACTCTCTTTTTAACCCCTTTGAAGCAAATCTGCTCCACAAATTGGCTGTATCTTACCTGCCAAGCTAAAAACAGAAGACAGACAGGTGGTGAGCATTGTTGGCATTTAGCAGCTAAAGAGCCAGCCATTTCCCTCAGGAGTTGGTTGAGATCGAAACAAAATAAAAATAGAGTAAACACAACTCTAAATGAATACTAATGTTGGGCTTTATCTTGGACGTGTTAATTGGGCCACTGTTTGCTAACCAGTTTCATGTTTCTCCATTTCAACCTTATCAGAGGATACTAGGTCGGCGTTGCATATACAACTTGTTGTGGTGCCCAGAATTCAATTAATGCAGGTTAGAAAATCTAATAAAGGCCTGCAGGTGTGTCATGTTACAACGAATGGCAGTATAATCAATGTAATCCCTGCCAAACGGCTTTATCCTTTCATATGTAAGAGGAGAAGTTATAGGACCTAGAAAATGATTGTGTTAACATCATCGACACACAGGAGTAGCAGTAATAAGGGCAAACTACCCACCGGGGATATACTCAGGACATACAGTCGCAGTATACAGCAGGTACCAATACAAAATAACCAAGCGCCAACTCTGTCCCTGTTTGAAAAAGATGTGTTATCTCAAAGGCAAAGTATTTGCTGTAAAAAGTTCATCTGGGTTTAACATATTCTGTTATTTTAAGGATGATGGAGTGTGAGACAGTTCAAGACATTCAGACAGCTAAAAGAGGAAAAAGGATGAGGATGCCATACAGATCAATAATTACATTTCCACAGATTCCTGTTTGGGCAAAACAAAGATGAGAGGCGGCTGAACAGCATTCATAAATCTCCCTGCTAGATGAAAAGCTTCACGGCAGAATAGGCACTCGAGTAGGACCTCTGAGAGCCACTCTGATTAGGCTGATGGCTAGCAACGGCGTATCTACATTAAGCAACGTCTTTCATGTTTACCTTGGCTCATTCAGGGCTCAGACTGATTGTGTAAACACGGCAGCTGTTATGAGGTTCTTCCTACCTGCCATTGTACTCAGCCCCCTTTGCTGTGTACCTGATGGGTGATGAATGAGAGGCTGTTTTCATTGTGGTCTTCAAATCTAGCTATTACGACTCGGAGGGTGCAGTGGACCTTGCTTAGGGCAGAGTGGCCATGAATAATCTTTTGTTACCGTTTTCTATTTATCTCTAATGACAGCAGAGCCGTATAAAGGGCTGACAGCGATGAGAAAAGATGCAGCATTGTAGGCTTAGACGTAGTTATTTCTCTTCCACTTTTCCTTGGAATTATCTACACTCTCCATTTCCTCTATTTCTTCCTTCTCTTTTTTTCTCCTCACACTGCCTGCCTCATTGCAATTTCCCTTTTGTGGAATCCACTTCTCACTTTCTGCCACCACATGTTGCAGTTACCTTATTATTTCATCTCACATAGAGCTCAGTCATTTTCAGCACTCAGTACCATTATACGTGCAGCTACTCTTAGTCCCAGTTAATAGGGGAGTTTGAGAGCTAAAAGACCATTTTTCAAAATGTCACTGTCAGAATGAACTGACCCCTAGAAACATTTTGAAGCAGAAAAACACATCTTGATTTTGGTGCCTCTGCGTCCTTTTCTTCTGTCCCTTGGTGAAACTCCTCTGGTTTCAGTTCAAAGACAACGGCAGCAAAGTCTTATTTATAAATGTAGTCCTCCACAAATAAGAATTAATGAAAAATAACTCAATCTTTCGGAAATAATTGTGACTTACGGATAAAATACTGTCTATCCTATACTATCACTATACTCAATGTTTATCAAACAATCAATGTTTATTTATATACAGTAGCCCAATATCACAAATGTTACATTTGTCTCAGTGGTCTTCACAGTTTGTACAGAATATCAGTGTGACAATACGACACCCTCTGTCCTTTGACCCTCACATCGTACAAAGAAAAACTTCCAGAGAAAACCCCACAGTTTAAAGGGGAACATGGGAGAAACCTCAGGGAGAGCAACAGAGGAGGGATCCCTCTCCCAGGACGGACAGACGTGCAATAGATGCCGTGTGTAAATCGAAGAGATAATACATTTACAGTGCAGGTAGACCAAATGTTTGGAAATGCATGTGTCTATAATAAGAAGATGAATCCGCGAGCATGTCAGCAATCCTGTGGGAGCCATCAGGGAAGTAGCATGGTGAGAGTCAGGCAGGACAGCAGAGACTGGTTCAGCCACGACTCGAAGTCCAGGACTCAGATCCAGTACTCAGGATAGAGGATCCAGGACACCGGCATATATGAGCACACACACACACACACACACACACACACNCTTAGCACCGCTGCTCGCAGTGACAGGTTCAGCCACGACTCGAAGTCCAGGACTCAAATCCAGAACTCAGGATAGAGGATCCAGGACACAGGATCCAGGACTCAGGACTAAGGATCCAGCACTCAGGATCCAGGACTCCGGATCCAGGACTCAGGATCCAGGACACATGATTCAGGATCCAGGATCCAGGACACAGGACCGCAGCAACAGGATCAGCCACGGCTCAGGATCCCGGCGTAGATAGACACCAAAACTAATTTGGGGGAAACTGGGTTATTCGGAACATGAGAGTACACAGGTACAGACAGACAGAAGGAAGAAGTAAGGTGTCCCCCGACAGTCTAAGCCTATAGCAGCTAAACTAACGTACATGGACTCCCTTAGGATACTGTCAATACTGTTTATACTTCATCTGTTTGTAGCCTATTTATAATTATTCATTCATTTATTTATATCATGTAGACACTTGCACTGCTATTTTGCACTTCTGGTCAGATGCCAAACTTGAATCTGAATCTGAAATGCAAACAATATTAAACAAAGAAAACCTGCTAGTTGTAACAAAAACATGCAACTAAGAAGAAAAGGCTCAAAATGAATATATTTAAAGTACAACACCATGTCAAGATGAAAGCATTGAGCTAAGACTGTGATCAAACTGTGTCTCATCCCGCCTTTCTGCTTCTCTGTTCTCACACAACAGCAGGTGGTGGGGGAGCTGTGGTCATTGTACTACAGGAGTGTGTTAGTGTGAGTGTAAGATAAGAGTTCTGACAAGGCACACGCACACACACGCACGCACGCACGCACGCACGCACGCACGCACGCACGCACACACACACACACACACACACACACACACACACACACACACACACACACACAGAAACGGTA